AGTCAGCTGTTAGGCAGTTCTATATGGGAGGCTGTGAAGACAGAACCTGAGCGGGTGAAACTGAAGAATCTCCACTGTCAGAAGCCACTGCCAAAGAACAGCTGGTGAAGATACAGCAGGCTGGATAAGGCTTAGCGGGTGCTGTGGTGATTTGTGAATTGTGGAGATTAGCAGTGGCACTGTAATTACTGGTACTTATGAGACGTGTGTATAAGTGGTCAATAAATCCATTCACCAATCCAAACACTATCTATAGTCAAATACACTATGTGATAATATTAACCTTTAAGAGCCTAGCGACACCGTATGGAGACCTTTAAAGTGTAGCCGAGTGGCTGTGTGACACCGTATGGGTACGCGCAGTCCACGCGTGTGCACAGTGTTTTAAAATCTAATTTTAAGACAGAAATTCTAGTTCTACTTATATTATTTTTGGGCACCCGCTATATAAGTAGACAGTCTTCCCCCCTGCGTCATCTAACTGAATGCAAAGTCCAACATCGCAATTCATGCACTATGTCCAGATGTAACTCCATTTCCCACATGAAGAGCACACATGACACCTCAGTCTCGTATTAGAGGAAGTAGGCCAGTGATGTCGCGTGGCCTCCTCTAATCGTAACGCTTATAAAACATCACAATTTCAACTATCCACCATGGCCTCATTTCGCATGGAAGAAGCCAAAATTAGGAGGCCGCTGATAAATGACACAGATTCAGAATGCGGTACAGACAACTCTGAAAGTGGCGAAGAAGCAAGGGGGCATTGTGGGGATATTCCAAGAACAGTACCTCTGTGTGGCTAGTCCGAGATATAAACAGGTAGTTCCTGAAGGACAAAGCATGACAAGACTTCGCCCACACTCGTACATAGAGAAGGGTTCTGACGTGACTGGAGAATGTGCAATAAAAACATAAACTTCCTCTGCTTTTGCCAGATAAGACATAATAAGACAGTGTGTCAGCAGCATGCATTTATACTGCAGAAACGTTTTGTGCAGAAACTGTATGCATATTTGTGGACAGAGGCTCAAAATTGGGAATTTTTTTTTTTTGGAATCAGTGTAACAATTTTTACAGATTTTAAAATCTGTAAATTACAATATCTGATTCTATATTCTTTCTAGATAAAAGCAGTGTTTATTTCATTCATTTATCATAAAAATTGTAGAAATCACAGCATTTTCAGTAACATGCTTACAATTTTTAATGCTCTACAATGGCGGACATTTAAATTAACTCCAGCCTGCTGCCATTATGGGAATTTAAATGGCACATCTCTTAAAGGTTAATCATAAAAATACATGTGTGTGTACATGCAAATGCTCAGTTATATTCTATAGTGACATGTGATATCCTATAATTTAATGATAAAGCCTATGTGTTGAAAGATTGTTGCAGGATTTCAGGCTTTTACAGAGGTCGTTATGTACAGTTCTATCTTCTGGGATACAATACCATGTATCCACTGAAAGTCAACTGATGTTTCAGAGAAACATGTTGCCTTTATCTTCAGAGTTGATGGAGAAGCCAAGCCAAGGAGCAAAGCAAAGCAGGCTCTGCTTGCTACCTGCTTCATGTTGGTTTCTTGTCTTATTTTTCAACCCTGAAAATGGAAGTGACATGTTCCTCCAAAACGTTAGTTTTGTTTCAATGGAATACATGGAGTTATACTCCAGAATACAGAAATCTTCATTACTGTAGTCTGTTTAGGATATGTATGGAAAGGGATCCAAAACAGGGGATCCCTGACAGGCAAGTGATATTAACTTCATAATCATAGGACACCCCACACATGAATTCTTATGTCAGAACTGATTCTTAGCAACACTCACTGTCATATAACTGTGCTCCGACACACTTCCCTGGCCTGTTACATACATATCCCGATATAGTGCAGGCATGCAGGCACAAACAATACCTTACAAAGTTCCTCAACGTTGTGTCCATCCACAACTATTGCATTACACCCAAACGCATCCAATCGTTTCCAGTAAACATCCATGTTATGCTGCAGGGATGTGGGTTCTGATTGACCCAAGCGATTTACATCCAAGATAACACACAAGTTATCCAACTTATAATAGCTAGCAAAATGCAGTGCTTCCCAAATGGATCCTTCTGCACTCTCTCCATCTCCAATCAAACAATATACCCTGAAAAAAATTTTAAAATCTCTCACATCTTATGCAATTATTTTCACATTCATTCTTGGTCGTTATGATCCAGAAAATGTGAAAAGTAATAAACAAACCATTCAAACATCCATATGTATCTTCATAAATTATCCATTTTACATCCCAAAGTCATTAAAATGGGAGATTTGTAAACTCCTTTGTGAATTTCAAAAGTTCCATGTATTTTATGGAGTGGAATTTCTAAGCTAGTGCACGGAATAAATATTCTGCATGTAAAAGGTTAAGTTCTCCCTGTACTTAATTAATTAAGCACCACACCATGAAGATGAATGGGGGAGTGTAGGTAGAGCTTCACCATTCTTGACCTCAGCAAGAGCTAACCTGCGGTTAGCCTCACATTCCAGCCACTTTACCCACAGGGAAATAGCCATGGTACCCACCCAGTGAGCAGAAGGCTGGACAAGCTCCATAGTCAGTCTTACCCTTGCCAGGTATCAAACCTCGACCATCCAACCCATAGCCTGTCACTATACCAACTGCCTTGTGAAAATATAATTAAATTTTCATGAATAGTCTTACAGCTATAAGCAACATGTCACACCTGAGACTGCTCCATTGGTAATGAAATTTCACTGTGATACACATTGATAAAATACATAACAAAAAAACTTTCCCATAAAGTAACATGGAATGTAGACCCACAGCTGGGCAATGACTGTGAGATAAACAAATATATAATAGCTGTTATTTACCTAAAGGGCAGAAGAATGTTGTATTATGGCTTGATCTTCCCCTTTTTATCATATGGAATTGTCGTATGGGGAAACAGTGCTAAGGCACTTACTAAAAGAATTTTTATTCTTCAAAAAAGAGCCGTACGGTACACTGCTGGGCTAAAACCCTTAGAATCTTGTAGAGACAGTTTTATACAACTAAAGATTTTAACATTATATTCAATGTACATATTTCAAACCATTTTATATGCAACTAATAAGTGTAACTGTACGGTAAATAAACAAGTACACACTCACAATACTAGAAACAAAAATGACTACCATAAATGGGTGCATAACTTAGAACTTTATAACAGCAAACCTTCCGTTGCTGGCTGTATCTTTTATAATAAATTACCCAATAGTATTAAACAGCTTGACAATAAAAACCAGTTTATAAGGGAACTTAAGAATTTGCTCATAAATAGATGCTACTACTCAATTGATGACTATATGAATGATAAATTCTGTAATGCTGGATAGTTATATATGCTGCATGTGATATTGCATTACATATTTTGTGAATTTGTTGGTTTATAATTTGTTGTAATTTTGTTGGTTTTACAACTCGTTTCATGAGATATGTCCTATTTTAATGTAGTCTGATCTGTGATATGGGTAAATATGAATTGATTAATGTATAGATAATTCTGAATTGTTGGAATTGTTGCGTGTTTGATGTGAATACTCATTGCATATTTGCGAGTTTATTGGTTTTGATCTTATTGTATCTTGCTGATTTTATAATTTATTTGAGTGAATGAATGTTTGGATAAATTTTGTTATGCTGCATATTGATATATGCTAGATATGATAGTCATTACATATTTTGTGATTTTATTTGTTATGAATTCTCGCACCTTGCTAATTTTATAATTTATTACTTGTGTCATGTTCTACACCTGTGTGGTCCGATCTATGGATAGTGAATGTTGAATGTATGAATGTATGGATGGACTGTGATATATTAGATTGTGATACATGCTAGATGTAAGTAGTCATTACATATCTTGAGTGTTTACTGGTTTTGAATCTACTGTATTTTGTTAATTTTATAATTTATATTATGTGACATGTCCTATATCAATGTAATCTGATCTACAGGATGAATAAACATGAATGAATGAATGAATGAAATTAAGTAAGAGCTTCACAAATAAGCATATTTCCCTGGCAACAATTCGATATAGCTACAAAGAAACAGCATTTTCCGTGAGGTCCATGCCAAGATGTTATAAGCAGGACAGTTAGCGAAGTGAAGTCAGTTGCCTGTGTGGAGATATCAAATATCTTCAACATAGCCCTGCGAGTCATGGGTAAAGAAAAGGGAACCCACGTGCCTGGAGGTATAACTGGGCCACACTATTCCTGAGGGATATAAATATAAGACCGGGGCCCTCAAGGTTGGGGGAGTCTAGGATCTGACTGAGACAGTCAGGACTGAGTCCGGCAGGACTCAGACCAAAGAATGAGTGCTAGGCCTCTATATTAGCAAATACATGTGTATTACAAAAACATATCAATACATGGTAAATAATACTCTTTATGATTGAAGAAACATATATATGGGTGGTTGGATTTCTGAAGAGAACTTTGAGGTCGGAAACACTTCAAACCTTCAGTTAATAATCATGGTTTACTTTTATCACTATCATAATACAAGTGACACTAAATAAAACATGTTAAAAGAAGAGCAAACAAAGTTGGTAGTACGCATTCATACAATTTACTGACAGTATTAATATAAAGCTTAACAATATACTCTGGGTGAACTTACATTACACTAAATGGGCTTGCCAACAAGTCTGAGCAAACTTAATACCAGTAGAGATGCATATTACACCAGTATGATATGGGGTGGAATTTATAGGAGCTACAAATTTGATGATTAAAACGATTTTCTAGAAATATGAGAGTTGTGTGATGAACACATTATCTTCTGATCTCTTAGTTCAGATGAGAAGCTTTCACTTATGTCTAAGATTTCTTTCTGTAACTGAACAATCTGTACATGTAATGCTTTCTGTGAAATGAAAATCTTGCAGCTCTTTACACTTGCATGCACATGAGTCCACACAACATCACAGCCACATGCTTGCATACACAACCATACTTACACACAGTATCTTAACAAACACTGACCACATGTGTCATGGACATTTCAGATTCCAAAGATATCTGGTTATCAGTATCTTAACAAAACTTCAGTCATTCATTCTTACAGACTCTTTGGCATAGGGGCCTAGAGGACCAGAAGCACACCATGCTTTGGAGCACAAACTAACTTTGCAAGTTCCACATGCAAACTCATCACAGATGGACACTTTCAAAGGAAAGGTGTCAGAACTTATTCCAGAGCATTCTTTTTTGTTTCTTCAGGACATCATTTATATGACACACTCTTCTGAATCATACCTTCCCCTCAAATCACCTGAACTTTGGACAAAAGCTTCTAAATACTGTGATGCTACCATAAGCCACAGCAATCCTTTCTGGTATACACAAGCAAGGATGCAGTCACCCGTGATCACTAAGAACAGCTATTGTTCTCAATGTGGTTCAGCCTCTATCAAAAGAACAAAGACTCTGTACAGATGGGCTTTGTTAGACTACTCAAACTGAACTAAAATAATCCTAATTAGGTAAAGGATGCCAGTCACAGTAGCCGAGCGGTCTAAGGCATGTACTGTCTTTGCTCGCTCAGACGCTGGGATCGTGGGTTTGAATCCTACACAAGGCATGGAAGTCAAAGTCAAAGTCAAAGTCATATTGCGACTGATGATAAGTCAGTCAGTAAGTCTTGGTGTCAAGCCCCATATGACCAGATATTAATTATTACTGTTTGACTGATCTTATTTTTGTGGGACGCACTCTTTGACGAGAAGACAGGTCTGTCTTTTGCATATGCTGGTGGCCCTTGCCAGCCCAGTCTTTTTCGGGTCCGAGTCCCTTGGGACTCGTGACCATATTTCACTCTCAGATTTGAGACTTCCCTTTTCGTTGCCTCCTACGACTCGCAGGGTCACGGTGGAGGTATTTGACCCTGCCTCCACATGGGGGGGGGGCATGGATGTTTGGTGTGGGTATGCATTTATTCTGTTTGTGTTGTCCTGTGTTTAGGTAGAGGCCTTGTGACAAGCTGATCACCCATCCAAGGAGATGGATGGAGATGAGATTTTGTCTTTCAGATATTCCCTCCTTTTATTCCTGAAATGCCTGCTGGTTTCCCTGTCTTATTTTGTTCAGATTATCCCCATTTATTTCACTTGGTTCCTGTAACCACTGTAATTTGGCTTGTTTCCTTTGGCCTATTAATTCTGAGCATCCTTCATTGAGCCATGGATTATAGTTCCTAGATCTTTAATTTGTATGACAAGTAATAAATTTTATGTCACTCAAGCGCAAGGTCCAAAACTAAAATATTATGTCCAATTCTGAAAATAGAATAAACTACCAGGGAAATTGGGGGGCCCTGTGACATACTGTTAGAAAGTTAGACTTTAGGTGGAACAAATTCAGGGACAGTAGAAAAGTGTTGATAGAACTGAATATTCTTAAATATTCTAATTGAGAGTATTCAGAATTGCAGGCAACAGGCACAACAAACAATTACAATGACAAAACATACATACATGGTTCTCACAGACAGTTAAGTCCACTTGCAACGGTTTGGAGGGCCAGTTCAAATTAATTCCAGATATTCTTAGCAACTCTGTTTAGCCTCAGGTAACACAGCCCATCATCATTTTCTGACCAATGCAGCATCTACATTTTTGATATAAAAAAAATATATGGGAAATGCCATGTTTTGCAGTTGGCTAGTAGTTAGAATGTCCAGTTAACCCTCTTTTCTTGATGCTGCTTCCCTCATTCCACCATCCTACCACCCCTGCTGAGCTTCATAGTAAACCCTGAAAGGGTATATGACTAAGGGAAAGTTAACACATTTCAACTTCCGGCAAAAACAGACACTTAAACAGCAAAACACCAGCCTGGCTGATCTGCCTCCTCATGAGATACCAACAACCTCATTCATATCTGTACTCATATTCTATAGGCTTCTACAAAAACATGCATTACTGAAGAAAGAACATTTATTTGTATGGTTGGTCACATCATAGGAAAAACAAGATTTATTTGTAGGGACAGTTACATAAGTTGCTGGAAATATATCCAACCTACATCAAAACATGTTTGTTTTTGAGTGCTGCTCAACATATCTCGGCAGATGGAGCTGATTTCATCTCAAATTCATTGCCTTATACGTTCCAGACCTGTTAGTTTCACAAATTAAATGTGCAATTTCAAATATCCCTAGAAAATGATCCATGGGACTTAAGTCTGGGGATCTTGGTACCCACTTCAGAGTTACTCTTCAATCGATTCACCCGCTGGTAAAGTTCTCATTAAACCAATGATAGATAGATAGTGCACAGTGCATAAACAACTGAGCTCATAAATTTGCTGCAATAACTTATCTCCTAAACTGGTCAGTCAAGTACCATTCTGTATTTAAAGTATCACTGAAAAAGAATGGTCTAAACATGCAATCATTCTACACACAAAACCATCAGTCAGCCAACCCCTTGTTCCTGACTTCATGCATACTGGTAGTGATGATTCTGCTTGCTGTCTTCTATTTTCATCAGAAAACAGAACACTCCTTTAATGAGTCTGGTTCTCCTTCCATCTTTTTCCAGAAACCATGAATACATTTTGACACTATTTCCTTACAATACCTGACTTTGTGGACATGTTGTACACCATTCAAATTTTATTTCATTTCCAAAAAAAATGAAAGCTTGATAAATAAAACGACTGATACTAGCCCCTCCCCCCACAATGCATTCCATGTTCTCAGTTCTAAGCACTCTGCTTTTGTACATAACTCACTCGATTTATGGTGGGAGGATGCCCCACTCTTAACTTAATAAGGGGGTTCACCGCCCCCCGCCCCCAATCTTTGCACTTAGACTTTATGACTTAAATCTTACCTGTATGAAGCTTTGTCAAAGTACTTGCCAACGTAAGCCATTCCACAAGCAACAGACAGACCCTGTCCCAAAGAGCCAGTTCCAACATCAACAAAATTTAGTCTTGGTGTTGGATGACCTTCAAGGTCACTGTCGATTTTTCGCAGATTTTGTAGATCTGATACTGGAAAGAGACCAGCCTCAGCCCATGCTGTGAAACAATCCAGTCTTATATTAACACAGTAATATTGCCACAATTACAATATTTGAATAAGTGAAATGTTTCCTTTTTAATACATTTATTCTAGGAAGTGAAGACACATACCAATTTCTAATCACATATATGAATCTATATGTAATAATACAAATGCCGTCATGAATGCAACAATTTATTTGGTTGTAGTTCTTTGTCTTTCATTCCTCTACACTATATGTTTCGGCCATAACTGGCCATCATCAGGTGTATTTTTCACTACGTAACTGTCACACTGCACACAATCCAAAATTTAAAACACCAGCCTGTCAGTTTTGTTTTAAATCTCACCAACATACGCTCGTCAATTTGATTTTAGAATTCCAGTTTAAAATTTAAAATTTTTTAGAATTTAAAATTCAAAATTAAAGTTTTAAATCACAGGGATACTCGCTCTGTGGCTACATGTGCTTCAGCGGTTTTTCTCGTTTTCAGCACCGTTCACAGCACTCCACCAAAAGGACAGAATTCAAGTTTTCCCTGTTTCAAAATTAGTCTTAACAGAGATAAGGTGTCACAGTTTGGACTGAATACAAATGGATCAAGGCAGGCCCAATAGCAGGATCTTGTGAACAAGAGTTTAATCTATGACTTTCATAAAAATGAAGGTGTATTGGAAAGTTTCTGGACCAGGTCAAAAATGAAATGCAGGCTTAACTTACTTAATTTTGGCTGTTATCTCCTTCAAAACAGTCTCCTTGGGAACATATAGAGAGATCCATCATTCTTTCTATGCTTCAAAAGCAACATGGAAGTCATTTTCCTTAATGTTATCAAGTACTACCTTCAATTCCTTTTGGAAGTCAGACACTGTTTCAAAATGTTGTCCCTTCAGTTTCATTTTCAATTTGGGAAACAAAGCGAAATCACAGGGGGCTAAGTCTGGCAAGTAGGTACGATGGGGAATGATAACAAAGTCACTGCTCGTCACAAACTCTGTGGTTTTCAGAGACGTGTGGGCAGGTGCTTTGTCGTGATGAAGGTGACAGCTGTGGTTGCACCAAAGTTCCTGTCTCTTTCATTGTATATTTTCTCTCAGTCATCTCAAAACGTCACAGTAAAAGTCAGAGTTGACCATACTGTCAGGAAGAACAAATTCAAGGTGAGCAGTTCCCTTCATGTTGAAAAAAACAATGAGTGTGCTCTTTCTTGAACTCGGGACCTGCCATGTCTCTTTTGCTCTTGGTGATTGTGGGCTCTTCCAATGTGACGATTGTTGCTTTGTTTCTGGATCATAACCGTATATACAACTTCCATCAACTGTTATGATCCTAGAAATAAAAGTTGGGTTCTTGTTAGCCTTCTCTCATAGCTCAAAACGCATCTTTATGCACCACTGCTTTTGATCATTTGTCATGAGTTGGGGAACAACTTCGTAGCAATGTGGCACATATTCAGATTTTCTGCTAATATCTCCTGGTAAACTCCATAACTGATTCCAAAGGTGTCTGCGAGTTCAAGGGTTGTTCGGCGATGGTCTTTGTGGAAGTTCTTGAATTTTTTCAACATTTTCTGTATTTTGGTGGTGCTTGGTCACCCTTACGGTCCTCATCTTCAACCAACACTCAACTGGCCTTGAAATGTGAATGCCATTCAAAAACCACTGTCTGGCTTAGAGAATGTTCTCCGAAAGCCGCATGAAGCATTTCAAGTGTTTCACTAGCTGATTCACCCACATTCACACAAAACTTGATGCAGACACATTGCTCAATTCTACCATCCATTGCAGACAAAATGAAACATGAAGGTCAAAAAGCACTCATGTAAAAACATGTGTTCACAGCATGGTGTCAAGTGGCAGACTGATGCAATAGGCTTGTGGAAGTGTGACCTTGGCCTTCCCTCTCATCTTCTTACACCAAGACATTTACAATAACAACAGTCCAGGAACCTTCCGATGAGCACCAATCAGTTTCTGAATAAAAATTATACATCAAGAATTGAGGGAATTCCTCAAATCACGGATGATCATGGCACCAGAACCATATTCTGTGCATCAACTTTTCAATGAAAATTCATTCTCATAAGCATTATTAACTCAACTTTCTTTATAGTACTGAGTGAAAAAATGCTTCCACTCTCCAATTTCACCAGTCATGGGCTTCAACATGTATTTATAGCAGAAGTCTGGAAAAAATTAGATCTAAAAATTCCATGCTTAGACATTTTTATACACAGAGAGAAAGGTTGGATGTGAGTGTGTAAACCTGCAGGTCAGATAACTACTGGGAATACAAAGTTCAACTAGCTAATCAGGTTGCCAAACCTGAACAGAGACAGTTCCTTTCCATCTGGAATATTCTGGGAACTGTCCAGCAGGCTTTAGTAGTGCTTGACTGCAAAAAAAATAACGGGGAAGTGGGCAAAAGAACAAAAAGAAACATCCATTGCTAGGTCACAGCAAGGTAAACATGCAATGGAGCTATTAAATGAGCATTAATTGGTACAAAGCAATCGGTAATCACCAAATGATCACAGCAACCGTTATGCACGCAACAATGGAAGAGCTACTGGAGGCAGTGTTTTCTGTGGGGTCAGCCCTGAGGCTATATACTGAGAAACAAATTGGAGTTCCGAGAAGTTGAGAACATGAAGGTGAGGAACCCCATGTGAAGGCAGGGTCAAATACCTCCACCGTGATGCTGCGAGTCGTAGGAGGCAACAAAAAGGGAAGTCTCAAATCAGAGACAGTAAAATATGGTCGCAAGTCCTAAGGGACTCAGACCCATACCTACTAAAGAGCCATCAAACAGTCCAAAACCTAGTCAGTTCCATGGATACCACTCCATCATTTTTGTACTAGGAACATGCAAAAAGCCCAACAGAAAATGTGTTCTTTGCTGGTCCAAAGAAGTGAGGAAAGAATCCTCATACTGGTGTCAAGACTGCCAGAAAGCATTGGGTACTGCACTATTTCAGGATTTACCACACTGAACCACTTTGTAAATAAGGGAGTTTTTAATTGATCAAATCTCTGTAACATGATGCATAGATAATATAATATTAGTTTACATTAGAATCATTATCAAAAATTTTCAGTACTTAAAGATTCTTAATGGTAAAACATTCAGAGTTACTGGCTGAGACTCCTCAGGCAAGTGATTAAAACAACACAAATTTCAAGAAAACAGTCACTATTTGCCATGAGAGAAAGTGTTCATTCACACATAAACAGTTGAGTCTCACCTGCATACAGAATGGGAGCAGCATGTCCTTTTGAGAGAACGAAGCGATCACTAGAAGAATCTCTAGGACGTGACAGTTTGTATCTCATCACATGGAAGAAGAGCACTGACAATGCTTCTGCCATAGAAGAACATGATGTTGGGTGTCTGGAAACAAAACAATAAATCATGAAGAACTTGTTACTTTATACATTTTTAAACACTATCTTGAAGCATCATTTCACTTCTATACTGCTACCTCTCAATGCACAATAAATATCACTGAAAATATAAACATGTTAATCAGTAACATTAATACCGCAATCTACCAAACCACAGGGCGCCACATCCCAGACCACAATCCTAATTTTAATCTCTCATCACATTAAATTACATGTTCCAACAAGATAAGAGATGAACCTGATATAATTTTATTGCAAAAAAAGAAAAGGAAACTGTCCCTACCAAAAAGACATAAATGGGACAGAGTCCAGGTATAGCTCCGTGTTTCTTGACCTTGCCCTAAGAAATGAATCCCCAGCACCCACTGGGTAAGAGGCTCTGTGTAAGGCTCCAGGGTCATAGAATTATAAATTTATATTACCTGTTGGGCGCTCTCTTTTTTAAAGACATGTCTGCCGATATTTTCATGCTCCGTTTTGGCCTCATGGTTAATGCGCTGACAGATGTGCGGATTTTTTACAAGTTTTCCGGCACACACACTGAAGTGTACCAGTTAAAATAACCATCACATATAAATAACATTATGTGTGAGGGCACACCAAGGAAACTGGCACCTGCAACATAACCGCAATTTGCAACAAAAATCGCAGATTTCAAGCAGGCACTGGTTTCCAAATTAGCAGGCGCACACTGGGGAAACTTATATTTGAGTAGCTGTTCACATCATCTCAAGTGGATATATTTGTCTGATGTAATGAATGATTGTATTTTTTATTTCATGCACTTACCTTCTGCAATGGAAGATAATAATGATAATCCTGTTATAATACGGCAGTAATTGAGACCAGTTGAGAAGAGAGGATGACAATAAGGAAAATATTGATGTTAATTAATTTGTTTCAATTAAGGTCAATTTATTCCAATCAGGAAACATCGCGTTCACACGCGATAAGACATTTTGATATGCAGTGCACAGAAGATACCTGATGATGGCAGTATGCAACTTAACCATGTAATGTGGAAGGGTGACTATATAAGAAGTTGTATACAGGGTGTATCACAACTCAACAGCAAAACTTCAGGAACAGACTCCTCATATAGAGAGAAGAAAAAAAGTTTATGACAACATGGGTCCACAAATGCATATAATTACAGAGTAGTAATTGTGTCTGCACGCCACTGAAAAGAATTGGCAGAGGAAAATTTGTTCACGAAGTAATCACAGGTGACGTCATGATAATCAGGTGTCCTCCCAGTGAAAGGCCAACCCACCGATTGAAAGCACTCATGTCGCCAATTCTTTTCAGTGGCGTGCTGACAAAATTACTACTCTGTAATTATATGCATTTCCGGACCCATGTTGTCATATACTTTTTATCTTCTCTCTACATGGGGAGTCCATTCCTGAATTGCTGTTAAGTTGTGATACACCCTGTATAAAACGGAAGTATATGTGAAATAAATAATATATTAATGCACCAGGATACTTAAATACAAAATCAGGAAAACACTGGGTGCATTCGTTTTTCTGTGACAATTTAAACTGAGGTGCTTATGTTGTTTCGAAAGATCCTGACTCCTTAGGGCGGAGGCACACCAAGGAAACTGGCAACCGAATTTTCGAGAATTGTTATCAGCCCGAGTTGAACACATGTTAATGAATGGAGCAGCGCAAATTGAGGACGCGGCAACGCAACTCTCGGAAAGACTGAGAAACTCAACTTCCAGGCAACGTCCAGTCTTCTCACAAATGCGTTGCGGCGTGGTTTCCTAGTATGAGCTGTTTTAAATGCGCTTCGGTGATTCATTTGCTTCTTAAGATGGCACGATAGGTTGACGAAGCTGTTAATTTTGTTTTTGTGCAGTTCACCGAGCAAACGTCTGTACATATAACAAACGCCACCTTGACTATGCAAGGCAAGACAAAATAGATTTGGCTTGAGAAAGAATTTCTCGTGAGACGAAGGAGTCTGTTGCATTAATATATAATTTATTTCACATATATCTCCGTCTTAAATAAAACTTCTTATATAGTCACCCTTCCACATTACATGGTTAAGCTGCATACGGCCGTCATCAGGTGTGTTCTATCTTGCTGAAATAGTTGCATTGCATGTCAAAATTTCTTACTCCGTGTGAACGCGATATTTCCTGATTATAATAAATTGACCTTAATTAAAACAAATTAACATCCCAATATTTTCCTTATGGTCGTCGTCCTCTCTTCTCACGTCATCTCAACCCATCTCAACTACCGCCATATTATGACAGGATCAGTGTTCTTTTCCATTGCATAAAAAAAAATACAGTCATGCATTACGTCTGATAAACATATTCACTTAAGATGATGTCAGCAACTACTCAAACATAAGGCCGAGGGAACACCAACGAAACTGGCAAACGCAATTTCCGAGAATTGTTATCAGCATGAGTTGAACACATATCGCAAATTGAGGAAACGCCAACGCAGTTTCCCCAGTTTGCGCTGCTCCATTCAGTGACATGTGTTCAACTCAGGCTAATATCAATTCTCGGAAATTGCGGTTGCCAGTTTCCATGGTGTGCACTTGCTAATCTGGAAACCAGTTGTCTGCTTGAAATCGGAGGCATTTCTCGGAAAATGCGGTTGCGTTGTGGTTCCCAGTTTCCTTGATGTGTCCTCGCCCTTAGGGCGAGCACCACTGAGCATTTCTGCACCAGGTCTGAGCCTTATGGGACGACTGCAAAACTGGCCCAGAATTTCTGAAAAAATGTTTCTTTTCAAGTTGGTCAGGATTTCATGACTCACCAATAACTGTGAATATCATATACCCTAATAATCATTCAAAACAATTTGGAATATAAAAAAATACGTCAATTAAAGGAATAAATATAGTTATATATAACGGTTAACAATAATAAAAGGACGTTCCTTCATCAGAGACACTATTCAGAATCTCCGAAACGCATTTATTCTCCGGGAAGCGTCCCCAGAATGTTATGTTTAAATAATGTGTTTGTAGGCCGCGCCATAGCTCAAGCGGTTAGTCTCTGGCTTCCCACCGCGGTGACCTGGGTTCGATCCCGGGTCTGGTCAAGTGGGATTTGTGGTGGACAAAGTGGCGTTGGGGCAGGTTTTCTCCGAGTACTTCGGTTTCCCCTGCCAATCTTCATTCCACCAATTGCTCCACAATCACCCTCACCTATCATCTGGGGCTGGTACAATAGGCCAGAAGTGGCCGCAGTACAAGGGACTTAGTCCCACCCAACTAGCAACAAAAAAAATGGTTGTAACAAAAAATACGATTACGCTGTAAACGTAGGGATTTACACCACCTAGGAAAGGTTCTTAATTAATGCAATATTTCTCTTAATTTAAGAATGTTCCAATCATATAAACATCGAAATAACGCAAAATCAATTAACTACATTTCAAGTATCTTCCTAGAAGACTCTAGTAACCCTCTGTTGAACAATCACAGTTATGACACACAAAAAAAAACACATTTCTGATATTAAAATTAAGGAAATGAATTCTATAAGGTTAGTAACACTGCTTGCTCCGGAAGATCAATAATCCTTGAGCATATCAAAATGTCCGTGACTCCAGCTGGCATCTGCCAGCACACCACCGACCCCATGAAATGGGTCACGGTCAATAGCAGGTCACTTTAGTGTCCGAAACCTGTTTTAAAGTTTAGAACACGTTTCGCTTTACCACACATTCATATATTTTTTGCTTAGTTCAGTTCGTTATGGCCCTTAAATTCTGTGCCAACGAAAATTTAAATAAATATATCATGCTGCTATTCCTGTTTGCCGCGCTTAATGAAGCATCAAGTATACGCGCGGGGTTGGCGATTCAAATACGACCTTAGATTTAAACTTATTTCAGTTTTATATGAGTTATAGGAACAGCTGGTATAGGCTATTTCGAACGATTTACAAAGTAAGCATCCTTATCTCCGTAAAGAGATACATGCATACTAGGTGCACGCACACACCAGGTAAACAACGCAAGTACACAAACTGGGTGATGGGTCTGCAGTCAAAGGAACATATATAAGAGAAATCAACAATCACACCAGTACCCATGAACTACATGGAATACGAACACACCAACGCCGCCATAGACTGTACTAATGGGTCACAAACGAAGACTGGAATTGACTAGTTTTATTAAATTGAATAGGGTTGACCTATTTTAAAATGAATATCTATTTAATTTGTAATTTCAATTAGGGAATACCAATTACTACCTACATACAACTGAAACATACAGTACAGTACAACAGTTAAGCACAGCAACAGACACCTGATGATGGGCATGTATGGCCGAAACATGTCGTGAATAAAAAATTAAAGTGACTACAATCTTTTGTTACATTAGTGGCAGAAATATATATTGTGTGAAATAACTGGTGCAACAGGGTGCTTAAGTAACATTTTCGTAAAGGGAGTAAGTACTACCTCAGTTCAAACTATGGAACAGGTAATGATTTTTGCAAACTGTGATATGCCGGCTTTAGCCAGAATAACCTTGAAGTCGTACACTGGTTATATCATGCAAATACTTTTCCTAATTGCTAAAAGCGGGTTTAAATATTTATTTAACAGTGTTTCTTGTAGGGAATCGTGAACATTCACAGAAACTATACAAGCATTACTCGTAACACTTCACAAAAAGATATTTCTAACTTACCCAGACTTGCTCGCATTTGTAGCGTTCACGCAGTCAATACGTAATTTATTTGCAATGTCATACAAAAGCTGTAAATCCGGAGCCTTATACTCTTCCCTCATGGTTTCTGCAAGTTTCCCACTACCACAACTAACTATCAAACCTGCCGAACCTTTTGACGCCGGTCAACTAACTGTACATTATTACTAAACAGCATTTATGCAGGTCATTCAAACGTCTGCGCATGCGCCATTGATTTCGAGTACGCAAACGTTTAGACGTATAGCATTATTCGCCTCATTTGTGCTTGCGGTTTTTCAAAACTGAAAACTGACAAGATAATACGGCCCGTGTCTTATCGCTTTTTAATATTTTTCGGTATTCGGGGCGGATAAATGAATATAAAACGTATCTTTCGGGAATTAATTATGGCTTAGTGAACTACTGACCGCCTCTGTGGTCTAGTGGTCAGAGTTCCTGGCTACAGATTCAGAGATCCCGGTTGGATTCCCGGCGCTACTAGATTTTCTGAAAAGTAGTGGGTCTGGAACGTGGTCCACTCAGCCTCGTGAGGATAACTGAAGAGCTATTTCATAGAAATAGCGGCTCCGGTCTAGAAAACCGTGGGGATCGGTTGCGCTGACCACGCAACACCCTCTCCCCGCAAAATGTTGGCACTAACTTCGCCGACAAGCGGCGGTTGCTCGGTCGGTATAGTTCGCTTTAGGACCACAGGGCACCGAGTTTGTTTCAGTGAACTGCTTAATTATCAACTGGCCCCAAATGTTAAAATACAGACAAGTGCCAATGGTTCACCATCCTTGGGGCTAGGGAATGAATGTTTTCTGTGCAATCTAGATTATGTCCTTGCGACTGACTGATCTCCATCCCAACACGTCGCGCCTATAACGACGTCACTAATCAGGGAGGTGGAGGAAAGCGTCTCATATGTTCTACTTAAATCGAGAACTCCCGAAAACAGGCGCTGTAGTTAATTAGGCGAAAATGTACGTCTCCGCAGTGACATTTTAAAGATAACGAGAGCAAACAGCCTACAACAGCAGAAGAAAAGCCCACTCAGCACTTTGTCAATTATATTTTCAATTGAGCTATGTCCCCCAAAAAATTCCAACAGCGAACTCATTACTGTTTATGAACTCCCTAATCTGTCGGAAAGCGCTGGAAATGCGTTAAGGAAACGTTCTTCGTAACAGAGAAAACACCCAATTTGCCTTAAACTGCACTTAAACTATGTAATAATTCGATTGTTTCATCAATGAAGATTCTGGTGTAACAATAAATAGAACTGGGTAAAAAAAATAATACAAACACGTTTCTGGAAAGTTCCGCACATTTTATATCGTAAGGAAAACGTTCAAGTTCAAAATTAAATTCACTGAATAAAATGTTTTGGATCTATCGTCACATCTCATTTAGGTCACTGACAACATCGTGATGTAATCAGCCCAGGTTACATTTCTGATAGTCGCCTTCATGGCATAGTGCCAAATCAACTAAGAGTTCAAATCAGAACAAAACCACTTCTTCCCATTCCTGCCATACAAGACCTCAACGTTGTTACTATGTCAAATAATGCAGAAATCACTTCGGATTCGTGATGTCAAAGAGGTCGTAATGTTTATGAGGCAACAGTATAGCCTTAGTCGCGTGTTCGTTTACACAAGTTATATAAGGATACACACATATAAGGATCACATGTCAGGGTTAAATGTCGAAAAACTATTCAGGGCTTGCCAAGGGTCATCCTGCTTCAAGTTGACTCCGGTAACTGTCAAGAGAGGGCACATCAAAGAAACGTCACGGATTTCGAGCAGGAAATTAGTTTCCAGATTAGCATGCGCACATTGAGGAAACTTTTGTTAGATCAGTTTTTCTTCCCCATCCCCCCCCCCAGGCTT